ATATAACTGCTTTTGCTTCTTTAAATACATCAGAATCATGGAAGTAGCCATTGTGGTCTGACCGATAAGGACAAATAAGAGAAAGCATTAATAAAAAGGGAAATATATATCGCAGAGAAACTGCACTGGTATTTTGCATTTGTCTTCACTGCAGAAGATTCTGGAAAAATTCTTGTATTTAATCCTGAGATCTCAGAATATAGGGTAGAATATAGCTTTCCTAACAAAGGTTTAGAAAACAGCCAACATATCAAGTTTAAAAAAAGAGATGGGTTGGGCAATAAGATGTTAGAGGCCAATTACCCAAAATATAATTAAGGACAGATCTTCTAAGTATTATTAAAGTCCAAAGTACCAACCTGTTTGAAGTATGGTGTGATGTTTACCACGTGGCCCCTGCTGTTTTCCCCAAACAAAGGGCGCACATTATGTCATCCCACCAGCAGTTATCAATTGTGACATTCTCTCTTTTCCTCACTGCCACCAGTGGATTTCCTTTATCCACAATATATTAAGAACTTTAGTCAGACACTTGTCTGATTACTGCCAACAGAAATTATTTATTGAAGTGTATTAAATTTACTCAAAATCACAGATGTTCTTTATTTAATGAATACAATCAAATCATTAAAATGTCATATATCTTGCCACATAACCAATCAGCACCTGCTCTATCTATTTATCTTGACCAGCTTATCTCTATTAGTATCTGTTCTCACTATCTTCCTGACTCTCTCTCTCTCTCTCTGCAAATTCTATATTTCTCCTTGATCTCTTCTGTCAAACCTTCTTATATCCACTGACTCCACCCCTCCATTCCTCTCAAAGGCTCATGCAAATGAGATCTTGATTATGAGTGACAGAAGTGACGTGGGGCAATCGTCACATATCGGTTCTTCAAATTTCTCCTCACAAAGAGAATAAGAGGATGGATCCTTTAATGGATTTCTAATCAGTTCGACAATGGAAAACAAAGAATGTCAGTGAGCAGTCTTCATAGTGGAAGAAACTACTGTATTTTTCCATGTATAAGACACTATTTTTTCCTAAAATCATTACACTAAAAATTGAGGGACGTCTTTTACACAGAAGTAAGCTGAGATAGTTGAGGAGAGAAGAAAATTCTCATACCTTGCCTCTGTAAACAGGCTTCCTTCAGCCATGAGGATTAGTTTCCTACAGACAGGAGACTTAGCTTCCTCCAATCACAAGCCTTATGGAACCGACGTCAGCTGATCCTGAACAAATCAAGTAGAAAACACCTCCTTGGAAGTGCAGCCTGTAGGCTCAAGATTCAACAGAGAATCAAAAAGTCCGACATGCTGAGCCCAGAGGCTGAATCCTCAAAGCTAAGTTTTCTTAATTTTTGGGTTAGAAAATTGGGGGGGGGGGGTTTCTTATAAATGGGGGTGTGTTATAAATGGAAAAATATGGTAAATATTTAGGGGCTCCAAAGGATCTACGTTGAGAACAATACTATTTCACTTTTAATAAAGGATCCTAAGTTATGGTGAACAGCAGTCCACTCACCGCATTTGGGGATGTCACCCACTTATTTAGGAGAATATAAACTGAGATAGACTCTTAAGACATCAAGAAAAATCTCTCCAAAGCATGTCAGTGGGCAACAGAATGACAAATAATGTAATAAAGTTTAATGTAATATTCATCGAGGCACAAAATCCTAACTTCAGATGTAAGAAATATATTACCAGATTCAGATCATCTGATGAATTTCATCAGTGACAGACTCATGTCATGATCTATGCCACAAGATGTGAAATGACCACATGCATGGCTTTTAATATGAATTACACAAATGCATGAAGGATATATTTAGCTATAGCTATAAGATCAAATAGCTACACGGAACCTCCATGTTACTAAATAGGGGCTGTTATGGAATAATCAAGCATTGCCTTCATGCTCTCTTTGTATTATATTGCCTTCATGCTCTCTTTGTTCACTGTAAGCATTTGGCTAGCCACTGCATGAAACAGAATGTTCGACTAGATGGGCTTTTGGTTTGATTACACAAGGCTTATTCTATCTTCTTACAAAGCTTTTTAAAAGTACAAACTTCACACATTGTTCATGACTCACAGTGTCTTCCTGTTCAACTGACTTCACTTCAATAAGAGAATGTTCCTTAATGTACTACAAGGAACCATGCAGCATTGATAAATGCATAGCTAATTGTGCTCAGTTGAATCCTGTGATGGAAAAATACTGTATACTGTAAGTAATAATATCATGTTTTGTGCTTTATCTGTGTTTTACTATCAATTGCAGGGTGCGTATATTTATACAGATGAATATTGTACGTATCTTTGTATATATCTTTTCTATTGCCACAGCTGTTCAGTACTGTTGAGACTGACTCTGCCTCTCATGAAATGTCATCTTTGTGAGTTCAAAATACATCAGTTCATTGCAAGGAGGCCTGCGAATGTATCCCTGTGCAAATACTTTTTAAAAAGTTTAAATTAATATTTAGTAAGCTATATTTTGGAAAACTCTTTTTTAAAAAGAGTTATGACACTTAGAAGTCACAGTGGTGATCTTGTTTGCTTGAATACTTAGGTTGAAAAAGAATTTTGTTGGATTTAATAGTGTCAGACAGCATTTTCACTCCTGTCAAGGTTCACGATGAGAAGAAATGCATGCCACCTTGCAAATTCATGTGTTTGCAAGGCTTATTCAAAATTTCAAAAGAATAAAGCATGCCCATTTCCAAAAGCAAATGGGCACCATGCTTAAAATTGTGCACTGTAGTCAATGGGGGAAATGCATATATTAGATAAAATGCACAAAGAAACAAACACATTGAGAAAATGCCTTAAAACCCAAGCAGACCTCAGTACATGAAGAAACTAACACTTAGAAGAATTGATACCAAAAAAGGTCAAGAAGAAAATACAGGTGGGATTTAAAGAAATGAAATAAGATCAAAACTAAGTCTAAAATCCTACCAAAATTTCCTGCATACCTAAGGGCATTCTCAAAAGTGCTTTAATGCATGTCCCAGAATGTTGCATGATATGCTCAGTCATGCAATAGATTGAATAACAGGGGAAGGACCAGCTGCATGACAGATACTATAAGAAAGGGACTTCCACTTGTGCACTTGCCTTTATACAGGGTAACAGGATTTTGTTGTATCCCTAGTGAGTGTTGATCCAAATATAAGTACCTTTGCACATTCCTGTTTGAAGCAAACTTATATACTGTTGCAGTTTTTTCAGCAATTATAACAGTGTAACTTGCAAAGGATGGGACTAAAATCTTTGTGTCAAAGGGTGGGACTAAAATCACATACACCACAGGAAATGTTTTCGGTGCTATTTTTTTGCAACTGTTTTCATGGCTGAAGAGGTAAACTGCTTTTCACTTTGAAATCAACCTGCTTCGCCAGGTATGTGAATGACTGAGGACATGTACACATGATGCTGTAGGATTCTTCCAAAGTAAATGACAAGGTTAAATAATTAAGTTTAGGAAAAAAGTCAGGAAAATCTAGCCTCACATTTAAATGAAATTTTAAGAATTACAAGAATGAAGAAAACAGAAATATTAGCAATCAAAGTACACAAAGTAAAAGATAATTGAAGAAGAGATAAAAGACTTAAGTCAAATGTGTCTGGAAGTCAGATATGAGAAAAGTTACTTTTGTTGCATTTAAACTCCTAGAATCTCCCCCCCATCAGCTTGACTGATGTTATAATACAGTGGACCCTCAACTTACAGATGGCTCGACCTCCAGAATTTTCAAGTTACAGACTTCTCTGGCCGCAAAATTTAGGTTTGACTTGCAGCCGGAGAATCGAGCTACAGACCAGAAAAAAACCAAAATGGAGCAAAAATGGAACAAAAATGGCCAGTTACGGATTAATTGGTTTTCAATGCATTGTAGGTCAATGGAGACTCAACCTACAGACTTCGACCTGCAGCCACCATTCCAATACGGATTAATTCCGTAAGTCGAGGGTCCACTGTACCAAAAAGTATCTGGTCTTAACTGTCTGGAGCCCTGTGTAAGTCTCATTCACTCTTGAACTGGGGAAAATCAATATGACCAAAATACACTGCATGTGTGGACGTTTCCTCAAAACTGAAGAGTAAGGTGGATTTAAAATATACAAAAAAGTCACTTAACATTAATTATGCCATCCAAGACTGGAATTTATTTGTCAGCATGATAACTTCCTTTCACAACTATATTTTCAAGCTATCTAAATGATTATAATTTCTGCAGGCCACTCTGACTTTCAAAACAAAAGGACAAATAAAAGAAAGCATTAAAATGCCAGAAATATTGGTGATTTTCTCCAGTTTTGCCATTTTACATAGAAGAGTAGGAACAAGGCAGCAGGCTTGAGAATATTTTAATCAAATCTACAAAAAGAGGGAAAAGGCAGTAGTTGCATAATTAAGCCAAGTACATGTAGTTTGAAACAGTAATTCAGAATTAAAATGCACTGCAGTGCTTTTAGATATAATGTGGGATTAAAATCAGTTGGAAAACACAAACATGAAATGGACAATTATTTGTGTCTGCCATGAAAAATCACATATCTGCTATTCTGGGATCAGTTCTATGATCACACAAAGACAGTGTGTCACTCTTTAAAAATATCCATAGATGTAAATATCCATAGATTTTAGATGCTCCTCATTGTCCTAGGCAAATGCATTAAAATATGCACAATATTTAGAGTTACATCTCACTCAAAATGAATTTAAACAGTAATAATCAGATCCTAAACTATGAGTGTGATATGTGTTCTCTTGAATGGTTCTTCTCACATTGGCTTGATTCTATTAACTATATGGTGCTAATGAATAAACCCTATAAAATCAAATTGTGTAAGTAAAGTTGTGTCCTTCTGTCAGCAAGTCTATGCCTGCATTTATATATATTTCTTTTCAACTCTAACACCCCTCAAAATTGTACCCTTCAAGCTTGATATAAACAAATAAGGGTACTCCTCAAAACATACCTGGCTGTAGTTCTGTATAGAAGCTCTGGCTTGACTGCTGCGGGCTGGGAGCTGTGATGTTGCCGTTTCACCAAGGGCAAGGGTCTGGTTGCTATGATAGCTAGATGAATACTGGAAGGACCCGTCAGGTTTGGAATTGAGTTGGAGTGCATTCTGGGACAGAAGGCTCGGCCCTGTTTTAAAAATAATTTGGAGTAGTCAGTGAGTGCCATAATAAAGGGCAGGGGGAAGCATGTATTTATCATAAGTAACTAGGAATTATGAACAACATATGATTTCTAGTTTTGCATCTGGTCATTCTGCAACAATGGTGAGTGCTATAATTGAGTGGCCCTTTATATCTTAAAAAAATGATCATTTGCCATTCTCAAGAAGAACACAGAATATTAAGCCTCTTAAACATCTTACTCTTTTGAACTTAATAGGGAGAACTAAACCTCTTATTGTGAATATTAAAAGACTGGAAGAAAAAAACAAAACGTGACAAGGAACTGCATGCTGTCACCAAGATCTCCCTTCCATCTCCACATCCTATCAGATGCACTGTTCCTGTTGGTATGCCAGCAAAGATGAGGAGTGAGGGAAAGGAGAAGCATAGTATGACAACAACAGGACATGGACAGGTGAAAAACCTAACATGGAACAATGTTGTATATTTTAAGAGATTCAGTTTCAACCTGTTGAATTTGACAAGCAAACTGTGTATGTTTGAATGCCCATCTCTGTGTCTATGTAGTTTGACACTACAGTGTATAGTTTTTCTGTGCATATACCGTAGTTTGATTGACTATCTATCTATCTATCTATCTATCTATCTATCTATCTATCTATCTATCTATCTATCTATCTATCTATCTATCTATCTATCTATCTATCTATCTATCTATCTATCTATCTATCTATCTGTGTTTGTGTTATACATATCTATGCACACAAGCATCAGCCAGATATTCATAATGGCAGTCATATCTTGTGTAAAGGGAACACCTATGCAAACATGGTGTCTATGTTGTTACACTGATGGGGTGTTCTATTCCACCAGTGCCCAATAAGATTGAGGCCCTTGTATTTCATTTTTATTACCACATTTTTCAAACTCTTTGGTCAGGCAGAGATGGGGATAATCATATTCATAAATGAATACAAATATCCCAATTCCAGATGGACCTAATGAGGGTCTCTGGCCCCTGGGACTGGACTGTCCACTCACGTGTCCCACTGCAGCAAAGGTCCGTCTTGTCCTGCCAACGTTGCCTGGGGCTCTGCTGTCTTCCTCCTTGGTGGACCACTTCAGGCATGGGGCAGGAGCACGAATCCCCCCACACAGCTGCTGAGTGGCCAGTTCAGCAAGAAGACAGCAGAGCTCTAAACACCATTGGTGGGAAGAGCAGGACTTTCATGGTGCCAGGATGCATGACTGGACGGTTCCAGTCCCAGGGTCTAGAACCTCATTAGTTCCAGCTGGGATGGGGATATTTGTATTGATTTATGAATATAAATATCTCCATCTCTATCTACAACTTTTGTAGGTTTTTCTTCAAATTGCACTTGCTTACACTGACCTAAAATGTTCTCCAGGATTCAGAGCTTAATTTCCAAGGGTTGAGGGTCATATATTGGTAAACATATGCCTTTGAGTCCTGTTACTGGGTTTCCTGTCTCAGAACCAAAAACCCTAAAGGTAACTGTGTTACACTACAATCACCCGTGGAGTGGTTGAGCTTACTCACTGGGATGTTAACTCACTGGCAATGCTCCCCAAAGCTTCTCTTAGCACATGAAACTGCTAACACGAACTCGTAATAATTGCAGGAGATGGGAATTTTCATGTGGCAGGTGGTTTAGGAGGAAAGGGTTAAAGCCCCTCTTCTGCCATGCTGGAGAGGCCCTAATCTGTTCTTCCATGTATAGTTATCGTTGATTTAAAAGAGAGAGAGAGAGAGAGAGAGAGAGAGAATGACAATGCCACACTCAGGATTCAAAGATGTGTTTTCTGTTAATGTATACTTTATAGAAAAGTGGGCCTCAGACCTTCTCTGCACAGACCTTAGGAAACTATTGATCACTGAAAATGTGCTTTTGTACATAATGATGATGATACAGCTTTGATATGTAGCAGGGGAAATGAAGGATTTAAAATATTAGTGTGCCACATAACTATTTCTGCCTGAACTCGTAAATCTTTTATTACAAGTTTGTAGTTTATCTTCTGAGTTACAACACTGTTCAGTAGTTACTATCATATAGTTCATTAAAATTAGCACTGCCAAAATGAGACAGAGTAGGAGGAGTGAATACTAATTCTCTTCCTATAAATGTGATATTTTCAGTGAAATATCACATGTAATTTATATCTGTATGAAATTCTTTATATAGTTGTTTAATGCTAGGGGAAGCTAGGATGGCCTCTTTCCTGTTCTCCTTCCATCAGCAGACAAGGATAGACAGACATATTTGCAGCGGATAGCCTTCCAAAAACAAGGTGCTAACTGGATATGACAATTTCTTTTAATGTTAGGTTTAAGTACTGTATTATTAAATAATTATTACTATTTAATAACAGAGAAGAGAGAACAATAATAAGTATAAGTTTTAAATGTTTTATTTTTAATTGCTCTCTGAGGTTATAACAGATTTAATTGCATGTTAACATCTGTAAGCTTCAATTCTCACTTATGGCAACACTTTTTGGCATTTTCCAGGTAGAGAATATTCAGAAGTGGTAGACTGTTCCCTTCTCTGGGGCACCCTGAGACAGTGCAGCTTGCCCAAGGCCACACAGGCTGATTCTTCGGGGATGCCCAATAGGGAATTGAACTCCCAACTTCTGGCTCCACAGCCAGATGCTTAACTCACTGAGATGGCCAGCCAGCTTTTTATGCTACACTTACATGTCTGACAATAAAAGCAATCTAAATATTTAGAGTTATGGGAGTCAAAGTATAACGTAGAAAGAAGAAGCAGTGAGTTTGAAGAAAATCTGGAAAAATCTGAAGAGGTTGCTAATGAAAGCATTTTTAGTGTCTCTCTTGGCAAAAAGAAGTTGAAACAGTTGAACAATGTAGCCATCTACTGTACTTGAGAATTCCAATGCATTTTTTATTATAAAGAGCAACAAGCACTGGGAAAATAATTCTTAATTTTAAAATATAACCTTAAAGAAATTCAACATTTCTATCCACCCCATCCCACCTAATGTGCTTGTCGTAATTTCCCAAACTGTAAGGTCATACAAAGAAAGATTATTGAACATGAAAGTGGAAGTGTTCTACCCTCTCTATGGACCCAAATGGTCTAGATCATTAATAAAATCTACAGGTGAAGGTAGATTGCATTTTTAGATAAAACAATCATGGCATGCTGGCATATTCACTTTGTAAAAATCTTGCGTATGTATATTAATCCACATACAGCAGGAAGGACATTCTAGTTCCCAGTGTTGTGTTTTGCTACAGAATCTGCACAGACCTAGACTTAGGTTATGATCAGATGGCAAGAAAGGATCACATACGATTATACCAAGGTCTAAAGCAACTCTTCTATTCATCTGGGAATTACTCTAGCTCAGCTCTCAACCTTTGTTTGTTTGTTTGCTTGCTTGCTTGCTTCACCGTTCTCCTTAAAAGGATCCAAGGTGGCTTATATCATTAAAAAGACAATATCTAAAAGCTAAAATCAGTAAGTACACAAATATTTTTTAAAGAATTCAACAAGTATTCTATTAAAACAGCAACTAAAACGAATACAAAAACATATCTAGAAGCAAGAGAGCACAGCAATGGAAACAAAATTCCCTCTCAGATAGGCAGTCACAAAGGGAACCCTGCTCATGGATCAAAAAGATCCAGCTTGAGCATGGGTCAGGAATGGGCTTGAGCACTATCACCCATATGTCATATGACTGCTGGAAAATAGCTTGTACCAGATTGTAGCATAAGCCACAGGTTCTTAACCTGTGGTCTGTCGTGGGGCTGCAATGTCCTCACAGGGGCCCCGCAAAGGCTTGAAGAGATGTTATGATCTTTTGAGTTGAAATAGAAAGAAAGAAAGAGAGAGAGAGAGAGAGAGAGAGAGAGAGAGAAAGAAAGAAAGAAAGAAAGAAAGAAAGAAAGAAAGAAAGAAAGAAAGAAAGAAAGAAAAAAGAAAGAAAGAAAGAAAGAAAGAAAGAAAGGAAGGAAATATAGAACAAAATCTTAATTTCTCTTGCTTATTTCTGTAAAACTTGGTTTTTCTAGCCTACTTTTTAGAGTAAAGACAAAGAAATGTAAAAATTGATTATGAAAATAACTGTTTGATATTTCTGCACAGGGTGAGAACGTACAAGTGAATGATATTGAGTGGCTGAGAGACTGTGTGACATTTCTTGCTACTGTGCAGATAGTCAGAAGCCACAGGGAAGAGCAAGTCAGTCAGTGTCAGTGTGATTTACGCTAATAAAAACATTTGGGTTTTGTCAGGTAACGTGACTTTTCAATATTACCACAGTTAATTTTGTAACAATATTTTTTGGCCGAGCCTCAGAATGGTTTGCTGGCTGAATTTGAAACATAAAAGAACTGATGCTGTTGATGAGGGTGCATCCTGTTCAAAGGAAAATGAAGCTTCTTCCAGTCATTTTAAGAAGTGTTATTATAACAAAGAATATCTGTCGATGAGACCTTTCATGAGAAACTTTAAATAAATATTTGATATGCTTCAGGGTTTTAAATCTTGAGTTAAGTGGTTGTTGTGGGTTTTTTGGGCTCTTTGGCCGTGTTCTGAAGGTTGTTCTTCCTAACGTTTCGCCAGTCTCTGTGGCCGGCATCTTCAGAGGACTTGAGTTAAGTCTCGATAGTCTGCGGCAACAAAAGATATTTTAAGAGGGTCCATGGTAAAGAAAAGATTAAGGGCCACTGGCATAAGCTGGCTAAAGTGAGAGCTATTTCACCATCTTGTTGCACCCTTACAATGTAGACATTCTATAATTTTGTCATTTGAACAATTGTAAACAATGCTGCCCAGTTTCAAACACTGGCCATGACAGTGGTTCTGCAGAGACAAAAAAGTCTGGGACAAAAATTCTTTTTCTTTTTCTTTTTTTTTTGCCACTTAGGTCCTGGGGGTTAACCCATCTGCTAATCCTCGTTGCACTAGAATTTTCAATAAGAAAATACCCCACCACTCACTCAGACTA